TGCAGGTGGAAGAAGGAGGTTCTAGTAACGTTTTTAATGTGGGGGATAAAAGACATGTCCTGATCAAAAATAACACCAAGATTTTCAACATTAGAGCTGGAGGACAGATTAATGCATCTAAGGAGGGAGAAAGACTGAAACATTCATTCCTAAGGTGCTCAGGTCCAAAAACCAAAACCTCAGTCTTGTCTGTGTTCAGAAGCAGAAAATTAAGGGTCATCCAGGTTTTTATGTCTTTAAGACATGCTTGTAGTCTAAGTAGCTGATTGGATTCATTGAGTTTCATGGACAAATATAATTGTGTGTCATCAGCATAACAATGGAAATGTATCCCATCCTGTTTAATAACTTTATGGAAGCATATATAAAGTAAAGAGTATTGGTCCAAGCACTGAGCCCTGAAGAACTCCATGACTAACTTTGCTGTATGATGAAGGTCCATTATTTACATTTACAAACTGGAATCTATCAGATAAATATAATTTAAACCAATTTAGAGCTGTTCCTGTAATTCCAACATCATATTCAAGCCTCTGTAGTAAAATATTGTGATCAACTGTATCAAATGCAGCACTGAGGTCTAACAGGACCAGTGGAGACACAAGTCCATTGTCATAGGCCACGAGAATATCATTAGTGACTTTTACTAGTGCAGATTCAGTGCTGTGGTGAGCTCTAAACCCTGACTGAAACTCTTCAGATTATTCTTTCCAGATGATCATACAACTGACCTGCAACTATTTTCTCTAGAATTTTTTTAGATGAAAGTTAGATTAGATATAGATCTATAATTGGCTAGGATTCCTGAGGCAAGGTTATGTTTCTTAAGTAAAGGTTTAATTACAGCAATCTTAAAGCTCTGTGGTGCGTAATCATTTAGTGGAGACAAATTAAGTAGATCCAAGATGTGGTTGTTAATTAAGGGAAATACCTCTTTAAACATTCTGGTTGGGATGGGATCTAACAGACATGTGGATGGTTCGGATGAGGTTATTATTTTTTGACAATTCAGAGCTCAACAGGACAAAAACAGTCCAAATATAAATCAGGTTCTAGTGACATATTTAAAGTTGTCTCATCTGACACGAAACCAGAGACGATAGTAGGAATGTTGGTTTTAACTTTTTCCTTAATTGAAATAATTTTGTTTATAAAGAATCTCATGAAGTCATCACTGCGTATAGTGGTAGGGATACATGGTTCAACAGAGACATGATTTTTCATTAGAATAGCTTTGGTACTGAAAAGGAACCTGGGGTTATTTTTATTATCACCAATTAAAGATGAATAATATAAAGTTCTAGCTTTATGGAGTGCTTTTTTATAAGTTAGCAGGCTATCTCTCCAAGATGAGCAAAGCTCTTCAACGTTAGTGGAGCGTCATTTTCTTTCCAGCTTACTAGATGCCTGTATTATATTAAAGGTATTTAAAGGCAATTATATAAAATATTTTATTATTATATTAAAGAGTAAAGATATTAAAAGGTGAATACATTCATTTAGCTGTTGCTGGTCAGTAAAATGACTGGCAGGTGCTCCACTTTGACTTGTGCAAAACAAATAATAAAAGCGTAGTAAAGTGAGGAGCAAGTGTCAACCTTCTTCCTCCATTCACTCAAATATGTAACAACCATTTTGAATAAAAATGAATGCAGATCGTGCAACACCAACATGTATCCCATCCCATCCCACTTTATTTATAAAGCACTTTTAAAACAGTAACAAGGCTGAACAAAGGGCTGTACAATAAACATATACATAAATCTATAATTGTAAAAATAGTAAACAAATGACCAAATAGCTAGATAAATAAAAATATTTAAGTAATTTCACACTGGGTCAAAGCCCAGGGCGTAGAAGTGTTAAGACCTAAAAACAGTTAGGGTGGGTGTCTAACATGCAAACCAGTTCAGTTTTGGACTTGCAGCTTTATGATATATATGCATTAATGTGTATTTATTAGTTTTTTTTTATACATTTATACATTTCATACAATACTTTAGGAAAGAAACATTGATATGAATTAACAGGCTTAATTGCATGCAGTGGTTAGTACAAGTTCACAATAATATTTCTGCTCAGCAAGCGTGCACGCAACTATCCACACAAATCAAGACGTCTGAGCTCAGCTTTGCTTTCGCCACGATAGCCAGCTGCTATCCAGTTGTTGGAATGTTGTGGACACAAAGAAAATCAGTTAATTGTCATTAACATGAACAAACGAGTTCTGACTTGCTGAGACCGACTCACGAAGACTTCTGTTAGTGACATCAGAGTGTTTTGGTGCTGCTGGTGGTGTTGCTCCTCCTGTACGTCTCCACGCCCGCAGAGCCCCCCGTCTCAAGTGTGTTGATCATCTGTTGCTCTTTTCGTTGGTCTTCTTTCATGAAGAGGTCAACCAGCAGAATCTTTTCGTTGTGAATCTGTTGGCTGATATTCTTGGGGATGTCTGGGATTAACCAGTCAATGATATCATTCATCAGCATCACAATGTTCTGGGGAACAAATAAACAGAGTAACTCAGATTTCCAGATGTTGAAAACATCATGATAGCGACCCCCGTGACCCAAAAATAGAATAAGCGGGTAAAAGATAATGGATGGATAATAACTTAAAGTGGTTTTGTTTAGGCTACAGTGTCTAATTATCTAAATCAAATTATAGCATTCATTGGCAGGAGATAAAAACATTTATTATTCTTCTGATTACCTGGAAAACGATAACAAAAGCCAGCCGTACAGCTAGCACTGCCCAGAACTCCTTGGAGATCTCATATGGTGTGAGAGACCATGGAGGTTCTCTGTAGTCCTTATACCTTTAAAACCAAAACAAAAGACAATATCATTTATTATTTAAAGTTCAGTACATGAGCAGTTTGTATTCATAGGGTCAAATGTTTTATTATGATCAACACCTCTTACAAGAAATTACTTCCAGTAATCCACTGGATTTCAGAGATTTTTATTCCTTCTAACTTCTGGTCAACAACTATTTTTATTTTTCGCTTTTCTCCTTTTATTCAAGGAGAACAAAGCAATTTACCCTCCAACACAAAGCAGGCTTCATATTTGCATTCATTATAATTTGCATTCACAGTTATCCACAGTCTGTATTTCTTTACTACTTTTTAAAATAATGTTTGGAGGAATCTGTTTATGTCCATACAAAAACACTGAAAGTAATTCTATAGATATCGGGACAGTTTTGGAAGGACGTCCAACGTGTCACTCTTGTTTCATGCTTTCTCCACCTGTTCATGATACTGTAACTGTTTTATTGTGTACCATGGTACATCCAGTTCTGAAAGCAATGAAGAGGATGAAGATGGGGGGGATGGGCAGTTGGACCTGATGACAAACCAGTGTAGGCATCAGAATGTCTAGGTGAGATGGCAGAGAGGATTCAGACTCAATTACAGTATTTCACAGAATTTTGAGGGTGAGAAAATGCCTGAGGAATGGAGAAGAAGTGCTGGTGGCCATTTTTAAGAACAAGGATGATGTTTAGAGTTGTAGAAACTACAGGGGAATTAAGTTGATGAGCCACACGATGAAGATCTGGGAGAGAGTTGTGGAAGCAAGACTTAGACGAGAGGTGACTGAGCAGCAGGATGGTTTCATGTCAAGAAAGAGCTCCACAGATCCATCTTTGCTTTGAGGATGTTGATGGAGAACAACAGAGAGGGTCAGAAAGAACTCCATTGTGTCTTTGTGGATTTAGAAAAAGCATCTGAC